GTAAAAAGTTTAAAACTATAAAATATTGGGCGTAAAAACTAAAAAGGTGGGGAAAGTGAAAAAAGAAAGAAAGAATTGAAAAAAAAGTTAGGGAAAAAGGTAAAATAATGTGAGATGATGAACTGGTGATAGATTGATAAATGTGATATGACAAAAATCACAGAATTTAAAATTTTTATATAAATATAATATATATTTGAATCGAAACGTATCCAAAACCAAAATATATTTGAACCAAAACATATTCGAAACCAAGATCTATTTGAAACAATTGACATCCATTTTGAATCTGAACCGATCCAAAACCAAAACAAAATCCAAAATTGTACGAAATCAAATAGAATCTGAACCAAAATTAAACCAAATTAAATCCGAACAAAAATTAAACTAAATCAAGCTGGACCAATTTTAAGAAATATGTGATAGATACCTGAACCGAATAAATTTGTACTAGAATTGATCTGGTCGATCTAATTGCCATGTCTAGGGTACAAGCTATTCCAACAAATATTACTCTCACTGTTCCAAAGTAATCGTCTAACTTTGAACAACATGTAAAATCTCACTCTTTAACTTATTTTATTTACAAATTGGTTTAAAAATAAAAGGTGCAAATTAAATATTTCAAAACAATACCAAACGTTCTATATAACAGAATGTGACAAAAATGTTTTATTTTATCAAATAATCAATGAAAACACACTAACAAACGAATTTATTGTGATGCCAAAATAATAATTGAAACGATTATTTTGGGATGGAGGGAGTCCATATTTGAAGAATGATGGTAAACTGACATTGAGTAAATTCTATAAACAATCTTTTTGAAATGGGGTTTTTCCTATATAATCTTTAATTTTAAGGTATAATATTCGTGGTTCTCTATATTTGAGAACTACTCCATGAGGGATCAGTGATTTAGACCCAAATCTAGTTTTATACATATAGTCCACTATGGACTGATCAGGAAATAGTTCTCAAATAAAAAGGACAAGAAACATAATATCATTGAATTGAATATTCGATATGGAAAACACCTTATTTCAAATGACTAATTTTAAAATCTACTCCATAAAATTTAACCTCTTGAAATTAGTAGAATTTCATTAATGATTACAACCATGTTTTAAAATAAGTGTCTATTATGACTATCTAGATATATTAAATATCAAATAAGTGTAGTATATTATTTCAATTTTTAATATATTTAGAAAGTCGTAATAGACCGTTAGCTAAAAACAAATCGAGTGATATACTCTATGAATGATTTTTTATGATTCTTAATAATTTGTTTACCAAATGCTCTCGTGTATACAGGTAATAAATCATATTTGGGGCAATTAAAACTCAAATTTTTAATAAACTCATATTTTAAAGGTTAAGAGAAGTGAAATTATGTAGTTGAAAGTGGTGCAAAGAAGAGAAAACAGATGAGGACCACAATTTTTTTCTAAATGTGAAAAGTGAAACCTTTTTTTTTGGACAAACAAAAAAATAAATATACAACATTTTTATGTGACTGATTTAGTAGTATATTAAGAAATTCTTAATAAACTAATAATTTGTTTAATTGGTTTACGTTTAACCATTTGTTCTTATTAAAGAGCTAATAGCTCATATTTGGATCCTCTCTTGATACCACGTTGCAAATACTAATAGGTACCGAAAGGAGCAGAAGAGAATAGAAGGAACATTTACTTGGCAGCAAGCAGTCCACTTTGTGTGGTTAAAGCATACTATGAACAATTTGAAAGAGATTTTGGGACATTTTTGAAGTGTAGGGCCAAGGAGTTAGTGAGTGGTGGGGGTATGGTTTTAACGATTTTAGGCCGGAAAAGTGAAGACCCGTGCAGTATGGAAGCTAGCCATAGCTTTGAACTCCTAGCCATGGCCCTCGGCGACCTAGTTGACCAGGTATTTTGGTCTCCTTTAACTCAGATAACATCTCGATTCTTCTTTTGGGCAATTCTGGTTTCAAAATTAATTCTTTAAGAACTCGCACATTTCAGAGTATTAATCAAGCAGTTGATTGCTTTTGAAAATTACATTCTAAAAAGCCGAATCAAGGATTGATTCTATTAACTGTAAAACAAATGTAACACTCAGTGGTAGAGGCAGGAGGTCCCCCCCCCCCCCGGGTTTTAAATAAGCACTATGAATTTAAACAAAAAATTATTGAATGTTACCTATAATAGATATTCAAATACATCAAATTATAACAATAAAATGACATACTTATTTGTTATACTTTAAATAATTCAGCTTGAATTCGTCTAGTTAATCGAAATAATTCGGCTTGAGTTACAATCCAAATTGTTATACGTTTATTTATTCTTGTGGATTTTTTTTTTGAACCACTTCACAATTCATTAACTCATCACAAAAATAAGATCATACAATCTTCAATACACCTCCCTACTCAATACTACTACCTGGACAGTATATTACTCTTCTTCAGTTTACTACTAGTGAAACATCTAATATTGAACATAATATAGGAGACACACTCGTCCACCCTCACATCCTCCTTTAGGTGCCACCTAGTATTTCTAGCCTTCCATATGAAATAGCAGATTGCTGCCCATGCTGCTATCCAAATTCCTCTCTCCCTTCTGGTTCCATGTCTCCTCATCTTGTCATAATATTCTTGGAAACTGGAAGCTTGAATTACACATCCCATGGATACCATTATCTTACTGTGCAGCTCCTTGGAGAATGGGCATTCCCAAAATAAATGGTTGATGTCTTCTTCTCCATTATTACACAACAGGCACTTCGTATCAACATTGATGAACTTACTTAGCCTCTGTCTTGTCTGTAGTCTGTTCTTCAGGATTAGCCACATGTTGAATTGGTGTTTGGGTATCGTTAGTCTATTCCACACCACGCTAGCCCATTCTGCTTTGGGGGGTTGGCCTAGGAGCCATTGATACCCTTCCTCTGGTGTATATTCCCCATTAATTCTCATCCCCTCAAATTCTGCCCTCACTTTTACCATCCTCCTCCAATAATAGCATGTGTCTTGTTTTGGAGTATAATCCCAGAATTTTGTGCCCTTAATATATCTACTATGAATCCACCTAACCCATAAATTATCCTTCTACAAACGTTATAGGGTCAAGTCGAAGTAGTGGTTCCGAAATAAGGTTCGTAAATGCAAAGACTTGGGGTCGGGAGGTGAAGGAAAACCAAACGTTCACAGAAGGGTCAATTGGTTACCCTGGGAAAATATGAAAAGTCGACGAGCCCAGAGATAGTTTCTACATAAGGCTTGCACCTTCTTCATTACCCTGCCAGGAATGATGAAAATTCTACACCAGAAATTAATGATTCCAAACAGAACTGAGTTTATCAACCTAGATCTTCCTGCATATGATAGGTGTTTGGTGGCCCAACTTGTTATCCTTGACGTTATCTTTTCAATGAACAGATCACAGTCAGCACTTGACATTTTACTTGTAGTGATAGGGCAGCCTAAGTATGTGAAGGGTAGTTTACCCTCTGTTATCTTAGTCATCTCAATGAGCCTTTTCTTCTCTTTGTGATTGATCCCTGCCATTACAATCTGAGATTTGCCAAGATTGATAGATAGAACTGTCGTCTTTTTAAAGTGGGCTAGGGACTCCATGACACACTTAATGGACTTCTCATCTGCTCTACATATGACTATCAAGTCATCTGCAAAACACAAGTTAATGAGTTTAATGTCCTTACACATTAGATGATGCCTGAGCTTGAACTGTTTTGCATACTGGCTTAGGACTCGAGTGAAGTATTCCATAACCATGACAAATAAGAGGGGGGGAGATCAGGTCTCCTTGCCTTAGCCCCTTTCCCCCTCTGAAAAATCCTTTACTTTCTCCATTAATACTCACTGTAAATGATGGTGTGGTTATACAAAAGAGTACCCATTTTATGAACTGATCTGGGAACTTCAAATATATCATGATTTCCTCGATGGCTTTCCAACTTATGGAGTCATAGGCTTTAGTAATATCCAGCTTGATCATGCATCTAGCTGACATTCCTTCTCTATTATACCCTTTGGCTAACTCGAGTAGTAAATTATGTAGTAGCTCTCTTCCTTCCACAAATGCCCCTTGGTTTTGGTTGATGATATGTGGCAGTACATGCTTCAACCTACTACAAAGGAGTTTTGAGATAACTTTATAGATCACATTGCAACACGCTATGGGTCTGTAGTCCTTTACCCCTTGGGGATTCTCCATTTTGGGAATGAGGATTATTTTTGTATTGTTTATCTCCTTTAATGTCATATCATCCCTGAAGAATTCTAGTACAGCTTCACTGAATAAACTCCCAACTGTATCCCATTGGTTCTTGTAAAATCCACTAGAGTAGCCATCTGGCCCGGGGCTCTTACTATTAGGTATTTCAAATAGTGCTTTCTTCACATTCTCTTCGTCAAATGGTTTGATTAAAAAACATTGCTGCTCTAAGGAGAGGACATTCCCTCTCTGTATAATGTCACCTTGGATGTTCTCCGTATATGTGGTTGATCCCAAAAGTGTTTGGTAGTAGTCTATGATCACCCTTTCCACTCCATCTGCATCCTTCACCAGGTTATCATCAGGTAGGAATTACCGATGATAAACCAAGACATAAACAGAGAAAAATTGGGTACGTACCTTGTAAAAACTTGGAACCAGTCGGAGTCATTAGGTGAGGTAGAACCTAACAACAAAGGAGTTTTCCTCACGTCGAAACTAAAAGTCCACTATAAGGATTGCGAGTTGTTTCTCCTTGTGCAGCAGTTCACTGTCCTCTAGGTCATCCTTAAGGTGCTTTATAGAAAATGTTCTTGTGGATTTTATTATTATAGAAAATTTAATTTCTTTTTCATATACAGAGTAGCAATTTGGTTGTCTAATATGACATACAAAAAATGAATCATTAATCATACTAAATCATAATGATTGAATAAAATGATAACATTCTTAGGAATTAAATATCCAACTTTTTTCTCCAATTTTTCTATTTTAGCGACCCACGATTTAATTGAGCACGAAACACTAAATTTGGGGAAGTGATAAATACGGAGCAGTAATCTCTCAACAAAGACCCAAATGACAAATTACTAAATTAAAACCAGAATTAGAACCTGCTGAGGACTTGAGGCCTGAGAGTGCGGAAGAGTGGCTGAATCCCGGTGGAAGGCCGGGCGACGGCGTCAGGCCGGTCAGGGGATGCCGCTGCGGCGCTTGCGACCTGGCACTCCGGCGGTTGCATTGAATAGCGGAAAGGCGAAGGGGAAGACAGAAGACCGGCGAGAAGAGTTCGCCGATTGCTTTTCTGGATTTACCCTTTTTGTCTAGAACTAATCTAAACGACATCGTTTCAATGGTCTAACGTTTAAACAACAGAGTAATATACGGAGTACGGAGTATAGTGTAAGGATAGTATAAATAGGCCATGTATGATTTGAATTTTGAACACCAAAAACACTTATTTTCAAACCATAATCTCTCCAAAAACATACTTCAAGTAATAATTAGTCAAAATACTCTTGGTCACAAATACTTGAAGATACTCTTGGTCACAGATACTTGAAGAATTATGATTTTCCTTGAACAATAATGTGGAAGTACATGTGTTTATATACGCAAACTATTCCTAATCCTAATCATGGTAGGATTCTACAATAGCAAGCAATATACATACAATAAATATAGAATATGTATTTAACATAAATATAGAATATATTTAACATGCTCCCAGCTATGTCGGCGTCGATGGTGGGCAAATCCCGAGGCTTGTCCGGAAATCCTGAAATAATATGGACGGGAGGCCCTTTGTGAATATATATCTGCGTACTGTGAGGAAGATGACACATGAAGAACTCGAATCTGACCAAGGGCCACCTTGTCACGAACAAAGTGAATGTCTACCTCAATGTGTTTGGTGCGCTGATGCTGAACTGGATTGGTGGAAAGATAAACATCACTAACGTTATCGCAGAAGATGAGTGTGGCACGACGTAGGGGTTGTTGTACCTCTAGTAGGAGATTTCGGATCTAGCTGGTCTCAGCAACGGCATTGGCGATGGCTCGGTATTCAGCTTCAGCACTGGATCGGGAAATGGTGGCCTGACGCTTGGAGGACCAAGAGATGAGATTGTCCCCAAGGAAGACACAGTAGCCTGATGTGGATCGTGTAGTGTCGGGGCACCCAGCCCAATCAGCATCGGAGTAGGCCTGAAGAGAATCTGTGCTAGACGGAGAAAGAGTCATACCGTAGGTGGAGGTGCCGCGGAGATAGCTTAGGACCCGCTTCATAGCTGTGACGTGGACATCTCGAGGGGCGTGAAGATGGAGACAGAGCTGCTGAACAGAGTAGGATATGTCTGGCCTAGTGAATGTGAGATACTGGAGGGCTCCAACGATGGAGCGATAGAGTGCAGGGTCGGCTACCAGGGCCTAGTGAATACTTTTTCGTCCGATTTAGTTAATCAATTTCTTGTTTTTGTTTTTCTGGACTTAGTTATTCACTTTTCATACTTCTAAAAAATTTATAATGAATTTTCTTGAATATCTTAGAGATTATATATGAGTACAGTTAATATGAATGTATGACGAAGTCATTAATATGACTTGTGTAGTATATGAAATTTTAAACTCGTTTTTTTTAAAAAATGAGAACCATAAGAAATATGACTTGAAGAGACGTGGTATTTGAATTTACTTTGATAAATTAGTGACAACATACTGTGCAGGGATTAATAGAAGAAAAATTATTTTCATTCAGCATTCCTCATTACACACCATCTCTAAGGGAAGTGAAGTACATAGTTGAAAATGAGGGCTCCTTCTTTAGAAGTTACAGATGTTCATTGGGATCCTTCTCAATTTGCGGACGAAAATGGATGCGAAAGAGAAGGATACAATGTTGCCAAGTGTATGAGAGCGGTGTCAGAGTCATTGCTGCGTACTCATTTTGGCGAGGATATTATTGAGGATGTCTTCGATAAGTACCGAAAAAACATTGTGGATTCTATGTCTAAAGGAAATATACGTTATTTCAATGTCACCATCTCGGTCACAAAAATTTGTAAACTATAAAAGGGATTCATGTAACTACATGATGAAAAAAACCAAGTCTTATGTGCATTTTATTGTGTATGAAACAAGTGCTTAAAATATGTACTAATCATAGTGAAATTTGTTTACCAACAGATAGGTTTTTTTTCCTATCTAATACTCCGTACGTAGTAAATTTAATTATAAAAATAAGACTTAATCAATTAATTAAATACGACTACATATTTATTTAATAACATTCATTTACTAAATCACTCTCATAACCTAAGATTCTGTTAAGAGTGCACAAAAAATGTCATATTTAGACAAAAAAGGATGTGGCATCTCATTCATATAATTCAATGTACATAGTTTAAATACTTGCCTATAATATTTGCATTTATGGATGAGCTGAGAGTGTTGTATAGAAGTTTTCAAGTATGTTCATAAGACTTACATTTAACGTTTGTAGTATGTAGACTATGTACACTGCCTCATCTCCTCACTCTCGTTTTCGGTTGGAAAGCTGAAGACATGGCACGCAATCGGTTTTTTATTTCAGTAAATGACGGTCTTGCCCCTGGATCAGATGCCCAACAATCTTCCATCAACTTTCGCCACTCAGAATCGCACCGTTGAGGGATGGGAGGCCTGAGATTGTTATTTACAATGCCACCTTTCACAGAAGCAGAACCGAATAACAACCGTTAATTAATCTTTAAAAAAATAGTCGGTTGCAAACTTGCAATAGAACAAAACAACCCAGAAAAGAAAATGTACAGAAGAACAAAAACATGGTACAAAAGAGACCAAGATTTTGTGTTTCCATCAAAAGCGCACCTATGATTTCGCCACAGTGCATGCTAGCGAAAGGCTCCTCTCCGGTCAAGATTTCCCACATTGTAATGCCAAATGAGAAAACATCAACCTGTAATGAAAACGAAAAACGTTAATTGGTTCGCTTTAGGGTGAAATAGCTAAAAAAAATACTCATTTGGATACATCACTTTTCCGGAAACTCGACTGTTGCTCCCATTTAAGAGCTCAGGTGCCATCCATGGAAGGGTTCCTCTAACACCACCCGAAACAAGGGTTTTCCGTTTTATTCTTGACAGTCCAAAATCACCAACCTGAAACATTATTAATCCTTAGGTGACCATGTTTTGATGGAAAAAAAACATCAATCAATCTCACAAGAAGAATTTAAAACCTTCTACAAGACTTCCTCTACAATGCAACAAATTAGCCTCTCTTGGAAACAAAACAATGGAAAGGTATGTATGGTTGAAAAGAAACTTTGAGAGCGAATTTACCTTGCACACAGGCCGCTGAGGATCTCCCAAATTGACGAGTAAGTTCTCGCACTTCAAGTCAAAATGAACGATGTTTTTCATATGCAAGTACTCCATACCAAATGCAGCGTCTAATGCAATCATGAGCTTTTTTCGTCTGTCAAGAGTTCTGCAGAAAGAAGAGAGACACATATATTCCCAAAGACGCAAAATGTTTCCAAAAGTTCTGTCACATGAGAATGGCAAGCAGCTAAACAAAGATAGTTCTCCTTTCTTTTCATTTGTAAATATCTCAACAACTATTTGGCTCATGATGTTCTCCTTGCAAGTGGAGAAACCTATTGACGAAACGGGTTTTGGAATTTCATTTCATTATTCCTTTGCAAAAAGATTGCGACAAGAAGGAAACTTGGGCGTCTATGTTTTTTTTGTTTATTTGGCAAAGTAACCACAAATCTTACCTGTCCTTCCTTAGAAGTACATGCCTCAGTGATCCATTAGCCATGTACTCAGTAACTGTAGCCATTGTTCCTCCAGGACCATCAGGGACCACGCCATAGAATGCTACTACATTTGGGTGGTGAAGTTGGGAAAGAATCTGAGCCTCCCTCCAGAAATCTTTGGTCTGCAAATTACAACATTTACAGATTTCACAGAGGCAGCAATAAACTACAATCATTTTCTTCCACGCCCATTCCGTTCAGAAGGGAAATTTAGTCGTAGCAAGTAGCCACATTATCTAAATGATGAGCTTATGAACCTATTGAAATTGATCTGTCTGAGTTGGGAACCTACCAGCTGTTCTTGCTCAGATAATCTGCCAGTGAAACAGCTCTTTTTTATCATCTTGATAGCAACATCTGTCCCCCTCCATTTCCCATGATGTACGGTGCCAAATGTACCAGAACCCAACTCACGTAGCTCCTCAAGATCACTATTTCTTATAATCTGCCCAAAGTAACTGAAAATATTCAGTTTAGAGTTGAGAGCATTATGTAATGGAGAAAAGGACATTGAAACTATGAACCATGCAAATACTACATATGCATAAGTCCATGGCCAAAACATGTATAAAAACTATGAACCATGAAAATAAATTAGAAACTGTAAAACCTATTTAAAGATATTAATAGAAACAAACAGTGACTTCTGACCTGAAAGCCATATAACCCGGCCTCTGTTTCAACGCCCGTAGCATCACTGATAGAGTAACCCTCATGATCGCCAACAACTTTATCGTCCTAACATATAAACAGAATTGGCAATTTTACATGAAAGTCTATTGTAAGGATCATTGTGCAAAAATTTTTGTTTGCAGTATAATGACTCGAGATATAGTAGAAGCGGGATAACCTTATAGTCAGGTTCTTGGCAAACACTATCAGCCTCTCTGATTTTTCCAATGGGTTGAAGTTTCTTGTTGGGTTCATATTGCTCATGAGGGGCAACATGTGAAGAAGGGTGTCCATCAGGGGACAAGTTATCAGTAGCATCTTGCACAATAATGCTCATTTTTGGGACCCCAGAGCAATTAGTATTATCTGAGAGTTGAAACTCAAAAAATGTGTCCTTCCCAGAAACATGTTTTGGGTTGGAAATTCCATCAGAGCTTTGCTCCTTCTGTTTACCATTGGACATGTCCAAACAGACAGCAATATCTTCTCTAAAAGGAGCACCCGAAGCTGAATTGTGTAATGATATGTCACTAGCACGGGGATCTAATAAATTCAAGCTAGCTCTATCTCTGGAGACCGATGTTGCAATATTTCCTATACTGCCCCTGCCATGAGAGGTAGAAGGTTGCAGTTCATGTGATAAACAGAAACCATCCTCACCGGTTGTTGTTCCAGATACAACATGGTTCTCTTTCATGGGTCCAACGGAAAAAAACCTGGCATTAGAGTTAAGGGCATGGCTTTGCTCAAGCATAATAGATTGTGTAGCGAAGTTTGTGTTTTTGCTGACTCGGCGCTTTGAAGTTGCATCTTCCCAACAAGCATTAGAATCAGTAAGGTGCTCTTTACAAATGGTTGTTGAATTATTATTACTAGGAGAAACAAGGGATATACAAGAGTTTCTACCACCAAAACCTTTTGCTGTACAAATTCCCTCAATTCCATGACAATGTTCTTCTTGAGCCGGATAAAGATTCTTCTGGTTTATACAGTTTTTTGAACTTTCACTGAATTCTTTGTCAAAATCTGGTTCTTTAATATTTTTCTGATGCTCATTCTTCCACTTCAACTGTTTGTGATCTCTCACTCCTTGCATTGAAAACTCTTTGGAAGAACTAAACAATTCGAGCGAAGGGGATTTATGCACATTAAAGTTTGAACGGACGGTATTTGTTCCTTCTCTAGTGACCTTATATCTCTCTCCACATTGCAATTGCGGATCAGAAATAGCATGATACATCCCAAGACTAGATTTTGCTTGACAATCTTGAAAAGAACTTTGAGAGGACAAACATTGTTGAAGTACCCAATTTTGAGGGAAGAATTCACTAGGTCCACTATAGCAACAGCATGGGGTGCCAATATTGTAAGATTTACCATACGGACTACATAATTCATTTCCATCACCACAATGAACATTGGTATAACCTGAATCGGGGCAAAGTTTTAAATCTCTTAAATGACCTTTCAGCGGAGACAAGGGAGGAGATTGAACATATGATTTGGAAGTCGTCTGATATGAATTAAACCAATGGGCAGTAGGATTTGGAGGGGCTAATATGTTGAGTAATGGATGAAATGAAGCAGGTGAATCTCTTTGACATCTCGGACTATGGTCCAAAGTACTCCCAAACTGGCTTGGCTGTGCGGCCATTGATTCGTACGAACAAAGAGTTTCAGCATCTGAGGAATGCACAAGAAACAGCCGCAGCCACTGTGAGAACTTACCCGGATTGTGAAATTCCTCTATCATGTTATGGAGATCCTCATCGGACGTCACGGATATAAGGGCATCAAGATCCTCACCAGTAAGCAGGTACTTTATTGTGTGTGGATGATTGCAAATAGCTCTAGTCTTTTTCACTAGTTCATTATATGTCAAGTTCTTCCTAATCGATATGATTCTAGTCTCTCCCCCCACATACCTAAGCCTGCCGTCATTTGTCCTAGGAACAATTCTTCCTCCAAAGCTGCATAGAAATTTCATTTTCCTCGACAACGGTTTGCATTGAACATCTAGACCATGGTAGCATGGATGTGGGGAATTTAACACATGAGGAGATGATCCAGGTGAAGCTTCATTACCATTCGAATAAGCTCTACAATTTCCTTCTAGTTCACATCTCTTGTTAGGAGAAGTATCCAAGAACCCCGCTACACTCTCGAAACCTCTTCTTTGTAATCCAAGTAAACCATTGAGCTCCTCATATACAAGACCCTTTTGAGCAGCGGTAGAACTGTCGCAGTTCTTTTTTGCAGTGCCAATGGTGGGTAGTTTTCGCGGAGTAAACTCTGCAGAAAACACTTCACCGGTTTCTACAGAAACACTATGTATATGTTCATCCCTATACCTTGTTCCATTTGTCTCTATATTCACCGTTCGCCACTCATTTTCTTTCCAAACGGAGCTGAAGATCAATGACCGGTGCAACAAAACAATTTCCAAGTTTCCTCCCTGCTTTTGCAATTGGCATCCCAAATTATTATCCAACTGCCCACAAAATCAACTCGAGAAATCGGAGCTTTTGTAGGCAATAGATACATACATATAACTCAATAAGCTCCCTTTCTTCCCTAAGTCCTTATATACTTTCCATTAACAACACAAGAGAAGGACAACCCAAATGTTCTGCAAAGGAGAAGGATTACCCAGTTTTGAGACGAATCAATCACGGGGTTTCGGGGGAATGCAAATGTATGAACATTCATTAATTACCTCCTGTGAATAATGAATTTGACAAAAAAAAATGAGGCACCATTCAACCATGAAATTATATTCCTCCATTTGACCCTATAGACTATAGAATCATACTGTTTCAAAGAAAATCAGAACAGCTCGCGTTAGGTAAAGAAATTGAAAGGAGAAAAAACCCAAATTCTATTCAAGAAGACACATAAATCCCTTCAAAGAATTTTACAATACAAAATTTAAAAATACTATATAAATAAATACATATGAGATGAGAGAAACAAGAAGGATGGTGATTATACTCAAATCCCTGCGGCAAAGAGGAATGGGTTAAAATGGAGGTTAAATTCTGGTATGACAATTTAGCTCTTGAGGGGCAGATGTTGATGGACAGACATGGAAGGGGAAGGGAGAGGTCGTGGCACTATTGCATTTGCATGCGTTTGAGACATGAAAAAAATCTAATAAATTTCTAAAATGGTATTCAATAATTATGTTTTTTTCAAATTAGTCCCTAAAATTAATTAATTTTTGATATGGTATTCATTAATTGAAAATAATGTTCAGTTCAGTCCTCCCGACTAACGGCCATTAAAACTGTAAAATAATATTGAATGCTTTTTTATTGAATAAATAAGTGTGCAATACAAAATAAAGTATGTATTTATAGGTGGAGAAATATATTTTAGAATCCTCCACATTAGTGACTAATTATATAAGATAATATTATATAATAATACATCTAACTATAATAGGTAACAACCATAATTATAATATATAATACTAAATATATTAAAATAATGAATATATTTAACATGTTACCAACATCTTGGAAGGTGAAGATTGAATCCCAACTTTTACTTGAATTGTGACCAGAATTGTAATCAGAAGCTAGAGGCATATCTTCGGTTTGAGTAGACTGAATGCATTCGGCCCAGAAGAGAAGAAGAAAGATTGTCAGGAAAGAGATCTGATGGCGCTGATGAGGAGAAGAGAAAAGTCGTTGCGAACAGACTCATGATGCTAACGTCAAAAGAGGGAGAAGGTTGACGTGCGCTAGAGCCGTGCACGACTAATTTAGAGGAGAAACAAAAAGAATGAAATGTTGCTAGGGGTGTTTGTTAACTGAAGATATGCCTACTGAGCAAGTTGATGTGACAACCTCATCTTAAATCAAGAAGCGGCAGTGATGGCCTGGATCTAGAAACAGACGATTGTGGTTGGCTGAGAATATATTTTTTTGCTAGATGGAATTATGAAAGAATTAGGATCAAAGGAAGAACAAGCTAAAGTAGAAGTGGGGCCGCCGTCGCCGGACAAACCACCGGCGGAGGCGGCGGAAGCAAAAACTATTAGGTCACCAAGATCAAAGGCACCGATACCACGTAAAATAACAAAGAATGTTTTATTGATTGAATGAATAAGAGAGGAATGCAAAGTATATATTTATAGATGGAGGAATATATTCTAGAATTCTCCACATTAATGACTAAAAATAACTCTAACTAAAATAGGTAACAACCATAATTATAATATATAATACTAAATACATTAAAATAATTATTATATTTAACAAAAACGGAGTTAAAACGGTGCTGAATTTTATACTACTTTCTCAAGATAGTACTCCCTCCGTTCTCAAAAACACTTCCTCTTTCATTTTTTACACTTTCAACAAAACATTTCCACTTTCAATTAAAAAAGCCCCTTTTACCCTTACCTTTTCATACTATACCTATCACATCATACTTTTTTCTCTAATAATCTATCCATCACATCTTATTTTTATCCATCACATCAAGGCAAAATTAGAAGTCAACTATAATATAACATTTTCTTATTTTTACATTTAGTCAAAATAGGAACACTTTTTGAGAACGGATGGAGTATTCTTTAAGTGTGCATTTTCTCAAATTGGTCCATTTTCGAAATAAAAATTTATTAGTTATGAAAAAAATATTAAATTTTATACGATGACAAAATAAACTCCCTCTGTCCCGCAAAAAAGTTCCCTTTTCTTTTTTCATCCGTCCCAAAAAACACTTTCTTTTTCATTTAAAAAAGTCACTTTTACCCCTACTCAATATTAACATACGTATCACATCACACTTTTTCTCTACTAATCTATCCATCTTATCCTACTTTATCTATCACATCAAAGGGAATTTTTGGAAAGTCAACACCAAAATACACTCCCTTTAAATCTTCAAAACGTCAAAACGGGAACTTTTTAAGGGACGGAGGAAGTAATAAAAACTATATATATAATTTTATAAATTTGAAAGTAAACGCTTTATATTATTTACAATTATTTAGAAAAATATCATGTAAATAAAATGTTATAAAAAATGTTGAAGAAATCATCATAAATAAGAGTAAAACACAGAGAAAGAGCTCTTATTTTGGTACTTTCTTTATTTTTTTACTCATATTTAAGGTGATTTCTTTAGCGTTTATTAAATATTTTATTTACATGATATTTTTCTAAATAATTGTAAATATTTTAAAATCTTTACTTTCAAATTTATAAAATTATATTTATAGTTTTTAGTATTATGTTGTCATCCTGTAAAATTTAAAGTATTTTTTTCATAATTAATGTATTTTTATTCCAAAAATGGACTAATTTGAGAAAGCACCTAGTCAAAAAGTATCATTTTGGGAAAATAGTATAAGCCCCATAAGGTTTAATGTCATTTTAACACTGTTATAACAGCCGTTAGCCAGGGAGATTGAACCGAGTATTATTCTCAATTAACGAGTACTCCATCTGTCTCAAAAAGTCTTTCTTGTTTCATTTTTTGCGCATCCCATAAAACACTTCTATCCCGCCTTGAATGCCAAAAAAACTTTCAAAATAACTTCTACCCACAATAAAGAAGAAATGTTGTAAATTTTAGTCATTTTAGATGTCGGTAGAAGTATTTTATGTGATGCGCAAAAAATAAAACAGGAAAGACTTTTTGGGACGGAGGGAGTACTATCTTGTGAATTAGTTATTTTTTTGGACTTACTTGAAATAACACGTAGTTATTAAATATCATTTTGAGAATTTACTTCAAAAAAATAAAATAAAAATTAATCTTTCTGATACATTGGTAAATTGTACGTTTGACTTTTAACTCCTGATTAAATAAGAGTAAAAGTTCTTAAATTATGGAGTACAACCATTTTTTAGGTACGACCTGCAATTAAATCAAAGGAGAGGCGCGTCAACGAAGGGGAGGCCAACGCAGTGCGAGGAGGCAACCGCAACCGACGGGTCATGACGACTGCAAGTTTAAATAGATTACTGATTTAGAAATATTTCTAGATAGGAATAAAAAAGTTTGAAAATACCAAAATATGTGTCTTATGCCTTTTAAGAATAAAATACTGATATAATGGCAGTGTAATGTAAGAATACGCATTGGGAGTGTGATGGAAAAGTGATAACAGTGTAATATGCCAGTGTGACCAGTTCATCCCATCGCCCGCAATCCGCAGTGGCACTTTGTTTGGTGGCCGGTGACGACAAATGGCAGTGTCGTGGTGATAGCGTGGCAGCTACAATGTGACTAGAGCCTCTTCTTTAGCGATTAAACACTTAACTTCTAGTTCTTTCCATTTTTTGCCAATTCCTTCCAGTTTCTTGCAATTCTTCCAGTTCCTTCCAGTTTCTTCTAGTTCCTTCCACTTTCTTGTAATTCCTTCCATTTTCTTCCAACTATTTTCATTTTCTTCAAACTCTTCCTACTCCCCAACCAATTACTCTAAAAAAAGATATATTTTTAATGTGATTATTATTATTATTATTATTATTATTATTACTATTATTATTATTAAAACTTTTATGTTCATAAATATAGTTTATAAATTATTAGTTTCATCTCATTATTTTTACGATTCACACTCATTATTTTTTCATCAACTTTTTAGTATAAATAAGACAATTGTTTTGTATATTAATCTACATGATAAAACAGGAAAACATCATTACTATAAACTATATTAAAAAATTATGGATAAAATAGTTACATAGAATGTTTTATTAATCTAACTTTATATAAGATCTCTCACCTTTTCCTTTATTACTCAAAATTTTATCATTTTTTAATTTTTTTTAAAAAAATTGAAAGTCAAAATAGCTCAGAGAAAAAAAACTAAAATAGGAGTAAAACATAAAAAAATGAAAAAAGTTCTATGTCTTTATTCCAGAAATAGAACTTAAAATGAAAATAAAATGTAAATCATGAAGAAAATAGGTTTGATTACATTATGCGACATGTCTAATATTTAAAACAAAATCTTGTAATATATAAAGTATAATTACAAATATAATCTTTATAATAAATACTGCATAAATAAATTGAGGTGCAACGTAACCACAAAAACTTTTTAAAATTTAATATTTTGATATTTGTGCTAACTTTATATTATAATTATTTTTTTGCCAAAGTAGTTTTTTGTATTTGAAAAATAATAATATTTTTTTATCTTAAAGGCATTCATTAAGATAACGTGAAGAAGAAGAAGATGATGATGATGACAATAATAATAATAATTTATAACAACAAGAATTAGAATCAAAATAATATAAAAATACACTAAAATAATTCTTTTTTAAAGTTTTTTAGATTTTCCAATTTTTTGAAGTTTTCTAGTTTTTTTCCACTTTCTTCCAATTTCTTCTTTCCTCCTGTTCTTCTAGTTTCTTCCCGTTTCCTCCAGTTCTTCCGGTTCCTTCCAGTTTCTTCCAACATCCTTTTTTTTTCCAATCCTAAAGAACAGACTCTAAGTAGTGAGTGTGATAGTGTATCAATGACTGTGTGAACTTTTATTTTAATATTAAAAGACTTATAACTCCTATTTTGAAATTTTCATAAGTTTTTACTTCTATCTAGAGAGTTTTTCCTTGTTCATTATATTTTCTAAACCTAAAGAGAATGAGCCGGTTGTACCATATACAAACTCGTAAAGTTACATTCAAAAAAAAATTGTTTTTGACTTTACATCTATATTAGTTAGAAAAAAAGAAGACTTTAAAGAAACCTATGAAAGGCTTCGTGATCCCAACACGGGGAAATGTTTACTTTAAGAAAGTGAGTGCGCCGAGTTAGCCGGGGCGGTGAGGGTACCTCGATGGCCCGTGAAGCAGCAGTGGGGTGCAGGGTATCCTCCCCGGGCAGTACTGCAGATTTCGGGTGTCATCCTCGCTCTGGTTTGACTTTGCTCTTTTTAGTTTGCTCGTCGATTATGTACAAGTCCGTTTTTTCATACTTAACTAATTTCTTTTTATTTTTCAGAAATAGAGTTCGAGGGTTATGACATTTATCCTAATTGGAGTATATTTTTTTTGTCCAACTTTCTCCAAATTAAAATTCGATTGCACCTTCCAATCAGATACTCAAGCTTTACGTAACTATATAATTTTCACATTTTTCTGAAATACTTTTTCTGGAATCATATTTTTAAATGTTTGACAGAGTCACGCATTCAATTAATATTATTCAATGCAATGTTTTTATTTCAATAAACTATTTTCAAAAGTTCACGTCATTAATTACTTCTTGATTTTATACAAGTTCATATTTTAAAAATAAATGTCATAACAAAAAATTTATAAATCATATTTCTTCACAAAATATACCATTGTATTCGTCTCCTCGAGGCCTATCCATAAAACTTAGTTTTAGCAAAAGATCATAAACTTGAAAATTTTCTTCATTTTTGGCCTAACAGAGAAATAATACGTAGTTAGGTCAAAATATAGTTTTAGAGATACTTTTATCATAAATTAACGTTTAGGCCATGTTTTGGGCGTTACAAACTATCTTAATCCAACTTCACCACGACACACACGGAGCCTCTCAACCTCTGCCCAGTAAACTTTTAATCCGTTTCCCAATTAGATCAGATCCAATCAGAGCATATGAGATCAGGTCAAATCAAATCATATCTAAACAAAGTTCTTATTATTATTATTATTATCATCATCATCATCATTATTTAACTATTACTGTATTATTATTGATATTATTATAATTATAACTATTACTATTGCGATTATTATTATTATGATTATGCCTATTAGTACTATTTTTATTATTGTTACTCTTATAATTATTACTATTAAAAGTATTATCACTATTACTATTATTATTACTATTATTATTACTATTATTATTATCATTATTACTATTATATTAGTATTATGATTATGACTATAATTATTATTAATATTGTTACTATTATTACTATATATATTACTATTACTATTATTATTATTATTAATATTTCTATTATTATTACTATTATTATAACTATAATAATAATAATTTAAATTTAAATTTAAATCAAATTTGTATCATATTAGACAAAATTAGATCAAATCAGTACTTCAAAAAACAAATCAGACGAACAGAACGCAGTCTCATTAGCATTGTTTCATTTTTAAACAAATTCTAAGCATAATAATTTTACTTTCTAACATTTTTTTCTTAAACTTTATGAGAGTCAAATAGAGAAATTTTTACAAATGACGAAAGGAATATAAAAATAATCAAAGTAATGCATTGACAGCGTGAAAGTAAAAATTTTAGCAAAAATGATGCAATCACAATAATAATAATAATAATAATAATAATAATAATAATAATAATAATAATAATAATAATAATAATAATAATAATAATAATCAAAGTAATTCATAGGCAGCGTATTTACATGCAATTAAATATGGAGTACACTTTTTCATATTTTGTAGTTACAAGTTAGGTCCGGCCTAATATTATTCTTGGGTTGGCGAAAACCATAGGCCTGGCCAATAGGACACCTTGCTCTAAAACTTACATCGTTTTCTTTTTTAATTTCGAAATCCTACATCAATGCCCATATTGTAAGGTAAAATTATGTATCTAAACAATGCTTGTAACAAATGTGTTGGACATATACGAGTAAAAGTGTTTTAGTTTCGTATTTTTGAACTTGGATGAAAAATGACATCCTTTTTGGAACTTGGATGAAAAAGGGAGTTACTATAGTCGAATAAATTTACTTTCAATTCAATTTATTTGGAAAATGTGTTTAAAGCTATGATATGAGAGGTATATTGGCCATTGAACAAGTCAATATATGAAAAGATGGTATTAAGACGTTTAGAGGAGCACATTGGTGTGGGATTTCGAAATAAGAGGAGTAAATGAAATTCTCTACTTTACGTAAAAACTTTCACTTTATTTTTTGAAAACTTTCATTTCATTTAATTAACGTCTTTTCTTTCAAAAATTCTATAGTTTTAAAACACTATTCCATCATTATCAACTCAATTTGTGTGTTAATGCTGTGTGTAATGCTTCACGGAGGGGGAGAAGTGACACATCATCAATGAACACCGTCCCCTATTGCTATGGCGTGAATGAAGCAAGTCAAGCAACACACTTTCTTTTGTTTCTTTTTTTCATTTTATTTTACTTTTGTATTGAATTATATATCTATTTTGTTCATAACTTTTTATACAAAAATCATAACTTGACAAATAGTATACCATTAAAAATATTTTTACAAGACCAAACCAACGACACCAATATATATATAATTTTGACATTATGTTTCGCTTATATTTTCGCTCAAAGACTTCTAAATTGAACGAACATGATTTTTTTTATTATTTCAAAACAAAATGCATTTTAAATATTGATTATATCTCACTTATATTTTTCTTTTAAATTAAACTGGTTATTTATTTGTTTTGTTATAAAAAAAATAAAAGCATGAAATTTTTACAATAAGTTTTCTTTCTCTTTTTTGATAATGTGTCATATGAAGCAACATTATATAAAATGTACTAGTTTTTTCTTTTAAATTAAGCTAGTTTATGTTTTTATATAACATAAAAGTAAAGAAAAAAAATATGGTCTACACAAAAAAAGAAAAAAATAAGGTTTGAATTGGAAAAAATAATACAAAAAAATATAACGAAGTTTAGAACAAAAAAAACAAATTCTTCATATTAATTTAAAAGATAGATTTTAATTTAAGTAGAAATAGATAAATAGTAAACAAAAATAAAAGTGTAATGATTGCAGTGGATGCGAGACACTATGAGTGGGAAGTAAGTGAGATAATGAGTGCAATCACCGCTAATATTGTGTTGAATAGCTACTGATTTAGAGTGAGTGGTGGTGGAGCACTACAAATAGTCTTAGAGAGAGACATAGTGTTAAAAAAGTGTCATAGGCTCGTAGCAGACTAGCAGATAAACCGCAATCTTTTTTTAATAGGATATGTTGTCAATTACTCTCTCTGTCTCATCTTAAATTATCTGTTTGCATTTTTTCTTTGTTCCAAAATAAGTTGCATGTTACTTCTAATCGTTAACTTTCACGAGTAAAATACTTAAACTATCCCTGAAATAAGTCATTCTTCTCCACTTTATCTTCTCATTTATCATCACATCTCCTAAAAAATAATGGCACTTTCAGAAAATCAACTCTATTCTTTCTCTTCCTTAAATATGCCCAAAAGTCAAACCCGACAATTTAAAACGGGACGCATGGAGTACTACTTTTACTACCTTCTCCCAAATTAAATGATCTATTCCAAATTCCAATTTTTGACTGAAATTATTTTCAATTTAATTAATTAGAAAATTAGGATGAAATTAAAAAATAAATATAACATGGGGTCGGTTCAAGTGACATTGGGTACCAATGTCATAGCACAACTCGAGATCCCTACAGTGCTCCGTTTAAAAATTATTGATTCTTATCCCGTGCACTCCTCTGGCCTCCTCTTTTACTGTAACCAATCGGTGAAGAAGAGGAGAGGAGATTTTTTTTGGAGAGGATAAGAGAGTTAAGAACCATCAATTTTTGAATTAAGCACCGTATATACGCCGGATCATGCTACGACATTGGGTACCAATGTCACTTGAACCGGGTGTCATTACCTATTCAAAAACTACACCATGCGTTCTATAAAACAAGAGGTGACGTCACTATATTATTTTATCAAATACGTAACAGAAATAGATAAAGAAAATGAAAAGAATTTAATTCATTAAATAGTAAATATGCAACTTAAATTAGAAAGGTGGAAGTATTATTTTAATCTTCCCGGTCAAAATGTATACAAAGTTAACAAATTCTATTATCACGTTACTCCATAAGCGGTTTAAACAAGCCTGTGCTAGTCCGAGAACATGGCTCACCCTATTGTGTTTATGAAACTCAAATTATTAACACATTAATGAAAGTATGAATTATATAATTTTCGAAATCCATAGTGTAAACAATTTCATCCACGTCAAATTTATATATAACTTTTTTTTCGATAAGAATCAAACAAAAAAATTGTTGTCTATAGCCCACAAATAATTAATTACTCCTTTTATATGAAATTATTGCATCATTTTGGCAGGCAGATCATTATTGTTTTTCTTTTATTGCTAGAAAGTATGTAAAAATATTTTGATGAAAACCATCAATAACGAACTTCATTAATTATTACAACATAGTTTAGATGATAATATTATTATTCAATGGTGAGAACTGAAAACTCACACTACCTCATTCTAAATATTTGCCCAATTTTGACTTTTTACATTCAAGTATTTTCAACTTTTGACATTTAGTTAAATAAAAGATATATCATATATTAGTTAGATAAAATAATATTTTAAAAATATTTTATAAAATCAATCTAATAAAAATACTTTTGTATCAATATCCAATATCACTATTATTAATTTGTGGTCAAATCTTGTTAATTTTGACCAAAAATAGTTAAAAAGTGGACAAAACAAATACGAAGGGTGTAGGATTTGAGAGTATTGTTGAACAAATGGAGATTACAATTACGCGCCACAAAAAGATTTATTTACCCATATGTATTGAAATTATATACATAAATATTTTTAGTCCATTTATGACAGAAAAAGGTTCAACATCTGATTATTTAAAACAATAGAATTGTGTTAGAGCAGCATGCGAACATTTATCCCTCAAAAAGGAAGAGATGAAAAACCAAAAAAACACACAAAACAAAAAAAACAAAAACCAAAGCTAGCAGAACAAAGCAGTCTTTCAACTGACCTGTGGGTGTCGAAGTCATTCGCAGATTAGAGATCTAGCTCCATCTCGTGAATGTCGAGGAACAACGACCCCGTAGAGTCACACGAGAGTAGGATCTGGGGAGGGTGTGTGTATGCAGAACTTACCCCCACTCGTGAAATTCCACGAAAAAAAGAAGAAAAAAACTAGATCATGTCAATGTCCCTCACCTTGGGTACCAAACCTTGCGTCTTTTGAAGACAAAGATCAAGTAATTGAAGACTTGCATACTGGGCACAATGTTCTTCTTTGGAGCCACGGGTCGATGCACTAAAAAAAGTTTGACAAAATGTAAGAGGACCGGAAGGCTAAACAAAGTTTTAATTTCATAGTGAAAATGGTAAAGGCTCCTACATCTTTGTGGAATTTGTGTAAGCAAGGGAGATGGCGGATAGTATCCCCCATTGTCGGAGTTTCAAGGCATATTGCGCAAGCTTCTTCGTGATTCTCAATCTGAAAGAAGTCAAAATAAGCAAAATATTGAACCTGGCACTACACTACAACTGTCAAGAGGAATCTGCATTCAAAAATTACCTGAACCAAACCAAACAAAAAAATTACCTGAACAACCGACAGTGGCAAACCATTTATCCGATTCATTGATGCGCCGGCATGTCGGTGATTATTTTCATCAAGTGCCAATAACATTTCATAGTCGTTCCTAAAGCAAAGTAAGAGGAAATGCCAAAAGGAGAAAGGATAGATTATTTTCATATTCTGAACTCTCTCTCTCTCTCTCTCAGAATTTAGCAAAATAACTACAAAGCTTCCGTCCAGAGCACTCATAAACTGATTCATAAACATGCCGCTCCAATCATAGCACAAACCACATTGTTCAAGCGCAGAATAAACATCCATTAATTCTCTCTTTCATTTCCCCACCCGCAATAAGCACATATCAGGGAACTATCCTCTGATTGAACTAACTTATGCTAAGTCATCTACACCATAGATAAGGTAATGCATGCACAAGCCAGTTTCCATAATGTCATGTCATAGTGAATAGAGATGAAATCTTACTCGGTGAAGTCTCTTTGAGTACGAAGAAAACTGGCAACAATTCCCATGTTGTTAAACGTCTCAAGTGCTTCCAATACTTCAATCCTCTGGATTAAAATCAAAGCAAATGAGATAAACAAAAAAAACCTAGTATATCCCACCAAAAAGTAGGGATTGAGGATGTGTTGATGATTTATTAGCAAAATATGAGGTAATTGATAAAATAATGCACGTAATGACGTGAGTTAGGCAAACAGCTTTATTCGTCAGTATCTTAGGAAAACATAGGTCAACATATAACCAGTTAACCACTAGCGATTGATGTAAAGTTGAAAGAGCAGTCAGAGAGCTGCAGTCACATAAATAAAAATGGGATGGATCCAACAAAAATTTTCATCAATAGAACGCTGAGAGTAGCAGTGTTTCTAGGAACAACGTTTCTCTGGTGGCAAAAGAGAGAAGGAGAAGGGGTCACAATGCTCATGTTCACACCACAAACAAGTTTGTCGTATGCTCATGCAGCTTCCCATGTTTCATGTTTCCTCTTAATATTGCTACTGACCTGAACATTTAGTCACCATTAAGATTTCCCCCACATAAGAATTAGATCATGACAGTATTCCTATCAGGTGCACCCCATGCACAAGATAAAAATAATTAAACTCCACATTCGCTTCAAACCCTCTTCCCTACACTTTACCACTTCCCAATACTTTTTCTTTGCTCTCACACCACTTCCAAAAATTCTCTCTTCTCCTTAGTCTCACATCATTTCCCAAGTATTTTTAACTCTTTAGCATGTGCATGGTGTACACATGATACAACAACTTAGTGGGATCCCACAAAAGCAGGGTCTCAAGAGGCCCACCGATAGCGCAACACAGAAGGCACACAAACCACGAACAACAACAACAACCCAGTTGAATCCCACTACAGTAGGGTCTGGGGAGGGTGTGTGTACGCAGACCTTGCCCCTACTCGAAAGTAGGGAGGCTGTTTCCAAGAGACCCTCGGCTCAACCTGCACAAAAATATGGAAGGGAACACAGTATAACACGGGTAAAGAGTCAAGTACAAGCAACAAGTACAAGCAGTAGCAAAGGATTCCAAACAAACACAACATACCACAAACAACCTCTACAGCACCGAGCTCCTATCCAGCTACTCTAATCTTAGTTCTCCAAAGGTTCCTATCTAAGGCCATATTCTCAGTCAGGGTGAGGATTCCTAAATCCTGCCTAATCACCTCCCTCCAATTCTTCTTAGATCTACCCTTTCCCCTACTTTCCCCGAAAACCGTAATCCTCTCGCATCTCCATACAAGGGCGTCAGCATCCCGCCGTCTCACATGACCAAACCATCTCAACCTCGTTTCCCGCAACTTATCTTCCACTGGCACCATGCCCACCTGACGTCGGATAACTTTGTTCGAAATCCTATCCAACCTTGTCTTCCCACACATCCATCGTAACATCCGCATCTACGCCGCATGCAGACGACGCACATGAGTCTTCTTAACCGCCCAACACTCTACCCCATATAACATAACAGGTCTGACTACGGATCGATAGAACTTACCTTTCATCCTGGGCGAAATCTTCGGATCACACAACACCCCTGAAGCTAACCGCCATTTGGCCCAAGCCACTCCAACACGATGTCTAACATCCCCATCTAACTCCCCATCAGCCTGGATTACCGAGCCAAGATATCGGAACCTGTCTACCTTAGGTACTAGGTGAGAGTCAATCCTAACTTCCACTTCTGATTCTGTTTCCCGGCCGCTGAAACGACATTGCATGTATTCAGTCTTGTTCCTACTAATTCTGAATCCTTTAGTCTAAAGGGCAAGGCGCCATAGTTCCAACTTATCGTTTAGTCCCTCACGTGTGTTGTCGATAAGCACGCACACAAACCACGAACATAATAGGCAAAGAGTAGACTAAGAATAAAGAAAAGTGCAAGGAGACAAAAAGCGCCAAGCAAAGAAAGCACACACGACAAGAGCAAAAACTACCGCCTAGGGCCCAAATGACTACCCAACTACCTTAATCCTAGATATCGAGATGTTCGTGTCTAAAGACTTATCCTCGGTAAGGGTTAGAAAACTTAAGTCATGCCTAATCACCGAGACCTCATCACCCCCACCTCGCTCCCTACAGTGCCTCTCACAACTTTGCACCAAGACCTCATCACCAATTTAAGTGCCCAAGCCACCTCAACCTAGCTTCCTGCAGCTTATTCTCCATAGGTGTCACTCCCACCCGCCTCGTATAACCTCATTTCAAATACTATCCAATTCTGTTTTCCCACACATCCACCACATCTTTGCCGCATGTAGTTGACTAACACGAGTTATCTTAACCGCCCAACGCTCTACTCCGTAAAGCATAGCCAGTCCAACAACAACACTTATCTTTCATCCTTGCCTAAAACTTGTGGCCAAGAACGCCTGAAACCAGCTTCTACTTTGGCCAAGCACCTCCCATACAGTGAACCACATCCTAGTCTATTTCCACATATGCCTCAATGCCTGACCAAGATACAAGATACTGAAACTTGTCTGTCTTAAGTACGTCTTAAGTACTGGGTGTGACTCAATCGTAACTTCCACATTTGATTATGTCTCCCTACTACTGAAGCAACATTCCAAGTATTCTGTCTTAGTCCTGCTCAGCCTTTAGATTCTTAAGACTAACGCCACAACTCCAACTTGTCATTTAGCCCTCGGGTGTTTGGTTGATCAAGACAATATCATCAGCAAAAAACATGCACCAAAAGGACCTCCCCTTGGAGACCCTGCGATAGAACATCCATCACCAAATTAAACAAGGGACTAAGAGCAGACACCTCATGTAACCCCGCATAAACTGGGAAAGGACTAGAGACACTCTCTTCACCTTAGTTCTTTTCCCTAGCATACATATCTTTGATTGTACAAATGTACTCAATTGGTAACCTCTCTAAACTCAAGACACCTCCACAAAAATTGGTCTCATCACCCTGTCGTACGCCTTCTTGGGGTCAATAAACACCATGTTAATATCCTTCTTCATAACCATATACACTTCCATCAACCTCCTCTGAAAGTGAATGGCCTCCGTGGTCGAGTAGCCAGCATGAACCCACACTAGTTCTCGGAAATGCACATCTCCTTCGGCAGTCTCGCCTCCATGATACACTCTCAAACCTTAATGGGGTGGCTGAGAAGTTTGATGCCTTTAGAATTATTGTAACTCTGGATATCACCTTTACCCTTGTACCATATGATCACCGCACTCGCCCTCCACTCGTTTGCCATCCTAGGGCTTCTTCTCTTCACCATATTTGATTGGTTTTGATTTGATTAGAATAAGTTCTGATCTTATTTGGTCTGGTCTAATCTGATTGTAGTTATATTCAAAGTTGTTTATGATCTGATCTTGCTTGATTGGCTTGATCCGATTCCAAAAAAACAAGTAATAAGTAATAAGAATAAGTTAAAGAAAACAAGCTCTTAGCCATCCTAAAAATAACATAAAGACCTTGGTTACCCAAACCAACCCAGAGTTACCCACAAACTTACAGAACTTCACCGAATCAAATCCAACCCCAGGGCTCTCCCTCTTCTCATCTTACAACTGTCCCTCGACACCTCCACCTCACAAATGCACCGACAATACCCAAAGTCTCTGATTGACACAACTCACCCAGCTTTAGCCTCCTATCTCCCCTACATTCTGAAGGCCATAGTACTTCCCACACTCGACGTTGCTTCAAACAAACTCTGTCCTTGTTGTCCTTCACACATCTCACATTCTCTTAGTCTCGGGCCTTCCTCACATGCGCCTTTGCTAGGTGGAATAGCCTCTTATCACAGCCCCACTCTTCTATGTTCTTATAGAGGCATTTAAAGGCGGCATTCTTCCCCTCGTAACCTCTAACTTAGCTTCCTTATGGGCAATCTTATACTCCACTCTGAACGACACCCTAGCCTCCTCATCAGTACAAACTTGCACTCTTTTTT